GAGGGAGTGAACAAAAGATGGAGGGGAACAGGAAGGGGTTAGAGGCAGCAATGTCAGACAACAAGAAGGATTTCCAGACCATGAGAACAGCAGAGGAGAGGTCGGCGATCTCCCACTGCGAGTCAACACCATCGAACAGGGAGATGGAGGTACCGGTGTCATACAACAGCAAACCCAGTAATATCTAGGGGATACCTTTTTGCCAGTATAAAAGTATGAAACGTAAGAATAGGTTTTACCCTTTCTGGCCATAAAACGAGTGGTGTTAAGATATTCAAACACCAAATATATACCTTTTGTAAGGAATCAAGTGTGTATTAACCACACGTACAAACATGCTCTGATAAATATATCCATTGTCCTTGAAACAAACCCAGTAAACATGCTGCAACGTTCGGCCCACGTTGTCATGTGTTTGGAACCGTTGGCACAACGTTGGCCCAACAACGTCCCGTGTTGTACTGGGAAGAGGGATGTCCAGACTTTAGAACAGCAAAGGAGAGGGAGCGACCTCCCATTGGAACAGAGAGGGTGAGTGGAGAAGGCTTTATGGAGAGAGCCACGGGCAAAGGCAGTGTGGACAATGAGGGAACGGATTGTGGATGAGCAGAGCAGAGGGGGGAAAGAAAGGATATCCCGTGAGAGGGATGGGACAGTGGGTACGGTCCGATGATGACGACGAAGAGAGGTATTGGGTCATAGGCGGAGAACTAGAACAGGGGGGATGTTGGACAACATCAGAATATTTCCTTATACTGGAGGAATCCGATGAGCTATAAAGCTCTTTTTTCACAGATGTCCAGTAGGGACGGATCAAAACGTTACAACAACAAACGGTACAAAACACGATAGGAGTGCAAATAACTATAGAGGAAAGGTAAATAAAGGGGGGAACGGGTCCCAGACATTATGAACATCAGAGGAGAAGGAGTAACCTCCTACTGAGCGTCAACACGGTCAACTGGAGGTGGGAACAGGAGGCCCTGGCTGGCGGAAATAGAATCCACGGGGGAATGAGAGATTGGGGATGAGGCGGGAGAGTCAGGCAGGGGTGAGTCCAAGGTGGAGCTTGATTTTGTAATGAGTCTGTACACATGTGCTATACAGAAGGGCCATTTCCCGAAACGTTGCCTGTTATATGTATACATGTGTATCATGCATACGTGATACACATGTGATGCACATACATGTGACACACATGCATACGTGTGCTATACAGCGTCACAACACACAGCGTCATTACCATCACCCTTAATTCCAGATCTTCCTCCATAAAGCTCTCACTCCTGAGAGTGAGCACAGTCCACCTCCTTCGACTCGTCTGGGTCGTTCCCATGAGGCCTCTCTCCCATGTGTACATGCTAACACACGTGTATGCAATAATTTACACACATGTATGCTCTCACACACAAAGACAAAGATCACCCGTTTAGCCTAAACAGACTGTTGGGGCAAGTGCCGTTAGCAAGCACCTACAAATGCCAGGACGGCACACGAAGGGATGAGTAGTCAGCACCACGCATGGCAGCCTATCACACACATATCCTATAACACAATAGGTAACTCTATAATACACATACACACAGGTAGACCCTGTAACACGCGGATACCATATTTAACACATACTGGGATACCATATATAACACACAGGCAATTGCCATAACACACACACACTGACATGCATATTTTATAACGCTGAAAGGCAACACATTTTAACTCATCACGCCAAACCCACAGACTCACTCTCAGGCTTGTAAAATGGAGTAACGTTCAACACATCGTGCAAAATAACGTCGTACGCTGCCTCAGCAGAATGCGCATGAGTAAATAAACTGTCCCTCCTCCCCCATGCATTTAACGAAAAATTATTGCCTATCATCTTCTTCAGCCATTGTCTATCCCCTGCTGGATGAAGAGGACTCCCTACGCCATTGGAATCTGGTGGTCGGTGCTGCCGCCCATGCGACCCATCCATCCGTCCACCTCAACTCGTCCGCTGCATCTCGGCGGTGAGGGCCCTGTTGCGAACGCGTTCGCTCCTTTGGCTGCCACTCCGCCGCCAGTCTCGGCCATCATCTACACCCCCTTCTCGTCTTGCCACGATGCGTTCGTACTGCCCAAGCACATTTTACTTTCTTTTTTTAGTCTCCTAATTGTCATTGTGATGTCCGATTCGTGTTACAATAGTTCCGTCTTGTCAATGCGTTTTCAGTAAGAGCTGGTGAGACTCAAGACAAGTCGACGCCAATTTGGAGTTTGCCTCCTTTCATAGATGCTGCTGGAACACATGGAGCTGGAAGGCCAATAAATAGGCTAATACCTAAAACGTCGTTATATTTTATTTCTTGAAGGACGTGACAGACTCATGTACACCCCCCCCCCCCACGCCAGTGCCAATCGTGGGGTATTGTTTGACCGTACCTCGCCACGATGTGCCACAGTGCGGCTTGGTAGCCGGAACTAGTTCAGATATCGCTCGCCAACTGGTGTTAGCCGTGGCCGAGAATCGAACTCAAGTAGCCGGCTCCGTGTACTCTGCGTGTGAAGTGTCTAGTGCGGGACTCGGAGAGCAGTAGTAGCAGTGATGTTGGAACCCTAGGCTGTGCGTGAAACCAATCAGCCTCTTGTGTTGTAATTAATGGGGCTCAACGTCTCAAATATTGACTTCCTTGTGTTTCCTGTGACTTCAACTAATCACCTAACCCATAACCTTATATCTGCACCCCGGCACACCGCATCCAACATGCCCCTCGCCATACAGCTGGTGGCTACGAGTCACGTGCCTATACTTACTCTGGTATACCCAGCGAAAAAATATATTCAGTGAGAAATTAAGCTCTGAACATCAGCGCGGACTAGTCTAAATGTGTACAGAATTTGAGCTCTCTAGCCCTTCTAGAACATTATTGTAATGTATACCAGTCACTCTGGATGGTCAGTGTTTGATGTATCATGTACTAATGGGTTACATTGCCTTCTATATTTAACAATATACCGTGCAGTGCAAACTCTGTCAAAATACGCTATGTAAGACAATACCTAACCATAGCATGGAGAGGTATCACAAGGCCAATAGTTGGGACTGAAAATACTGAAGCTCATTCATAGAACCATTCACAGACATTCAGAGCCCTTAACACACACACACACACACCTTCAATTAACTTTGAGCACACGCACACTTCTATGGAACCATTAACACCTTCCTAAAACTCCTAATCACAAGACAAAGATCCGTGTATCGAATGCAACAAACTGGGAAATTTCTGTTAGCGAGCACCTATGAGTACTGTACTGAGTACTGTACTGACACGGCACATGCCCCAACGCCTTTTTCAGCTTTCACACACCGCAATCGGTACTTATTTAAGGCCGAGTCGATCGAAAAGAGGCCCAGTTCTCATAGCACGACCAAGTGATGTTTGCCGGGTTTCGTAGCGCAGTGCGCTAATCACTGCGCCACCACTCCCCATTCACACCCATAATCGCTTGCACACTCACAAAGACAAAGATCCCCCATACAGCCTGCACAAACTAATGGGCCAAGTGCTGCTGACGAGCACGGCCTACGAAGGGGTAGGTGGTGCTGTTAACACCACGCCCGGCCGCCTTTGTATCCCCAGTGGCGATGCTTATACACCACGCACCAGATACTCGTTTGAGGCTGAGTCGACCTAGGGGAGGTCCAGAACACACGCACGCACACATGAATGCCGTGAAGTGAAACATCAATCGGTCACGAGCGATCACCTGTGACACGTGACAGTGCATCTCGCAGGTAAGGGTTCTATGTGTGTGTGTGTTTCGGGTTGGATGAACGTGTATGTGGGCTAAGGTGTAATTGACGGTGCGTGTGTTCAGGGTGACATGAAGTGGTTTGTGAAAGGGTTCTATTATAAAAGGTGTATGTGTACTTCACAATTGTGTACCGATCCGACCTTCATAGATTCTCGCTAACAGCACTTGCCCCAACCGGCTGTTCAGGCTATACGGGGGAGCTTTGTCTTTGCTTTGTTACAATTATATAAATGTGTGTGTGTGTGTGTTGGGGGGGTCATCGAAGGTGTGAGGGTTCTATGCGGGGCTATGTGTTGTGCCGTGTATGTTTCGCTATATGAATGGGTGTATGCACCAAGGATGTGTGTGTGTGTATGCGTCATGGGTTCATTGTCTGTGTGCGATCATCAATAAAAGTGTGTGGGTATCGTATGGGTTCCATTAAGGTGTGCGCGTGTGTGTGTGTGTGTTCGCTAAAGGCACCGTGCAAGCGCATGTCTTTCCGTGTGTGATTGTGCACGCTAGTGTACGTGGGGAGCGGTGGCGCAGCAGTTAGCGCACTGCGCTATGCTACGAACCCGGCGACACGAGTTCTAATCCCGCTCGCCAGTGACGATGTGAAACGCTCCTGGGCCTCGCCCTTGGTCGACTCAGTATCAAATGAGTACCTGGTGCGTTGTGTAAATATCGCTACTGGGGAGACAAAGGCGGCCGGGCGTGGTGCTGGCCACCCACCCCCTGGTGTGCCGACCCGGCCTTCACAGGTGCTCGCTAACAGCACTTGACCAAAAAGTCGGCGAAGCTTACACGGGGGATGTTTGTCTTTGGTAAGGATTCAATGAAGGTGTGCGTTCACGTGTACCGGCAAAAGGTGTGTGTGTGTGTTGGTGAACGCACGCACGCACACGCACTGCACACACATTGCACAAACACACACCACACACCCAGCTCGAGATAGCACACCAACACGCACCCCCACAATCACACACGTCTCCTACACATTGCCCCCCCATCCTCATCATCCCGCATCAGGCACACGCGCGCGCGCGCACACACACACAATTATACATTTTTTTTAAAAGCAAAAAACAGCAGCAACAACAGCAAGAACAGAATAAGCATCGCGTTATTTATTATATGAGGAATTCAGATCGGCCCGGTTCGCATCACCCGCAGAAGAGAGGAGGAGAGAGCGAGCGGAAGAGACTCATCATTGTACTCACTCCGTTGCCGCAGAGTGTGAGGCGTAGTTCAAATGCAGCAGCTATCACAGCGCCATGTTGCTATGCGGATACGAGACGGGCTTTCCGAGCCTCTACACGCGAACACACACTGGCACACACACGCACACACTGGTACACACGCGGATACACACGCACACACTGGTGCACACACTAGTACACACACACACAGGCACACACACACACGCACACACTGGTACACACACACGCACGCACACACTGGTACACACGCGGATACACACGCACATACACTGGTACACACACACACACACTGGTACACACACACGCGCGCGCACACTCGAGCGGACGGGCAGGACAGGAGGGGGATACGTACGGACGGATGCACACACGGACGAACTCGGCCACTCACGCTCTTGACACACACACAGGCAGGCGGGGGGGACACAGGCGTGGGCACACACACGCACCCACACACACACGCACCCACACACACACGCACCCACACACACACCCACCCACACACACACGCACTGGCACACACACGCACTGGCACACACACGCACTGGCACACACACGCGCACACACACACGCGCACACGACCGATGCACACACGGGCAGGAGCGGACGGACGAACGCACTCACGTTCTTACACACACACGCACCCACACACACACGCACCCACACACACACGCACCCACACACACACGCTCTTACACACGCACGCGCACTTACACACGCGCACACACGCATACACGCACACCCACGAACAGGCGCGGGAGGACAGGCGTGGGCCACACTCGTGCACATACATGCAGATATATACCGCGCTCCCCACCCCCCTACACAGACACAAATACACACGTAGTTACATACAACATATACACATCGCAGACACACGAAGATCCTCATGACACACACACACATGTACAAACACGCCGGTACAGACACCGTTACATGCGCACGGCGAGAAACACACTGGCACACACACACGTGGACCGAGTCACACAGACGCTCCTGATAGACACAGCAGCAGACAGACACGCCTAAAGATACACACAGATACATACACAGATATATATACACACCTGCACACTGATAAACACTCACACAGACGGGCGGACAGACGCGTATACAGATGCATGCGCACAATCAGGCAAAGACAAATATCCCCCCGCCCGTGTAGCCTTAAGACACTGTTGAGGCAAGTGCTGTACATAGAAACATTCTGATACACACAGTACTGTAACCCAAGACGGTCACACACACAAACACTGACACGTTCACAAAATGTACACTTACATCCTACAGACACATACACAAACGCATCTACACACAGACACGCGCAAGTGCCATTTGGGGCAATTGCTGTTAGCGAGTTCCTATTAAAGTGTATACGACAGAACATTTATACCACTCCAAAGACAAAGATCCCTCGGATGGAATTGATCGACTGTTGGGGCAAATTGCTGTGAGCGATCACCGATGAAAGCCAATCACGGCACACGAGGGGTGGGTGGCCAGCACCACGTCTGACCACCTTCGTCTCCCCAATTCTGATATTGACACGCGACACCAGGTATTTATTTGAGGCTGAGTGGACCTAGCAGAGACCCAGGGTGGGTACATACACTCAACCACCAATCCACAGACACAATCACATACACCAGCACAAACTTACACACACACACACCAATCCACAGATATCACATACACCAGCACAAAGACAGTCACTCCCTATAGCCTGAACAGACTGTTGGGGAAAGTGCTGTTAGCACGAATGTCGGCAAGGCACACGAGGTGGCCAACCCCATGGGCGGCCGCCTTTATCTTCCTAGTGGTTTACACAACACACCGGGTACTCGTTTGAGGCTGAGTCGACCTAGGGGAGACCAGTGACCAGTTCAGATGATCGTCGCTTGTGTTGGCCTTGAGCAAGAATCAAACACACACCCAGCAATGCACATACAGTATGCCATCGTATACCCCAGAAAAGACCGACACTCACCCATCAATTCACAGACACAATCACATTCACCAGCACAAACTTACACTCACCCATCAAACCACAGACACAATCACATTCACCAGCACAAACTTACACTCACCCATCAATCCACAGACACAATCACATTCACCAGCACAAACTTACACTCACCCATCAATCCACAGACACAATCACATTCACCAGCACAAACTTACACTCACCCATCAATCCACAGACACAATCACATTCACCAGCACAAACTTACACTCACCCATCAATCCACAATCACATTCACCAGCACAAACTTACACTCACCCATCAATCCACAGACACAATCACATTCACCAGCACAAACTTACACTCACCCATCAATCCACAGACACAATCACATTCACCAGCACAAACTTACACTCACCCATCAATCCACAATCACATTCACCAGCACAAACTTACACTCACCCATCAATCCACAGACACAATCACATTCACCAGCACAAACTTACACTCACCCATCAATCCACAGACACAATCACATTCACCAGCACAAACTTACACTCACCCATCAATCCACAATCACATTCACCAGCACAAACTTACACTCACCCATCAATCCACAGACACAATCACATTCACCAGCACAAACTTACACTCACCCATCAATCCACAATCACATTCACCAGCACAGACCTTGGCCGATGCTTTCGCACTGTAGTATGCTCTCATTTGAGGCCGAGTATACCTAGGGGACGCCCGTGAAGGATGCTGATACCACCTGCCACTGATGTTAGCCGTGGTTGGGAATCGAACCCATCGAGTCAATAGTGTATCTCAATGCGTGAACCATTGCGACGCATATTACCACACGTAAAAATACAAAGATCCCCCGTATAGCCTTAACATAATGTTAGGGCAAGTGTTGTAATCGAGGACCTATTAAGATCCGTACGGCATTGAAGTGATGTGGCCAGGACCAAGCCTGGCCGCCGCCTTTGTCTCAACATTTATACACCGCAGCACGGACACGTTTCTTCAGGCTGAGTCGACCTAGGGGAGGCCTACAACCGGTTGAGATAATCGTCATTTGTGTTGGCATTGAGCGTAAATCGAACTCGGGTCGCCGGGTTCGTAGCGCAACACGCTAACCACCGCTCCCCACACAAAGACAAAGATCGCCCGTATAGCCTCCACAGGCTTGTAGAAGGAAGTGCTGTTAGCGAGCACCTCTGAAGACCGGCTCGAAACACGAGGGGCGCGTGTGGCCAACACCACGCCCGACCGCCTTTGTCTTCCTAAGTGGCGATGTTTACACACCGCACCAGGTACTCATTTGAGGCCGAGTCGACCTAGGGAGAGACCAAAGGACCGGTTCAGAAAATCGTCACCGTCGCTGGCCGTGAACGGGAATCGAACTCGGGTCGCCGGTGAAACGCAGCGCAGTGCGCTAACCACTGCGCCACCGCTCCCCGTACAGGCCACGCACACACCGACACACAGCGACAGATGCACACACGCACAGAGTGGGCGAGCCATGCGCACAGCTCCCGTCTGGCCAATGACACGAGCAGTCTATGCCAGGACTGGAACGCGACAGTATACAGCGCTTGGCCGATCCACTGCTGTGCTCGATGAAGGCCTCCCTCGCGCTGTGCCACACGATCATGGCGAGGGGGGGGGCAGTTTGACCATACTTCACCACTCTAGTCGCTGATGACGAGTCGTGTGAAGTGGACGTAGGCTGTAATGCAATGGCTTCACAAACTGTGAGCTGTGAAATCTGAGTTCAATCCCCGGACACGGCTAACATCAGTGGCGGCCAACCCGTGTTGACCAGCGTGGTGAAGTATGGTCAAACAAAGCCCCCCCCTCCCCCAACAGACGTGTTGGGGCAAGTGCTGTTAGCGAGTAGCACCTCTGAAGGCCGGCACGGCACACGATAGAGCAGGTGGCCAGCACCACGCCCGGCCGCCTTTGTTTCCCCAGTAGCGATGTTTACTGCACATCGCACCAGGTACTCATTTGAGGCCGAGTCGACCGAGGGCGACGCCCAGGACCGGTTCAGATAATCATCCCTGGTGTTGGACGTGGGCGGGAATCGAACTCGGTTCGCTCGGTTCGTCGCGCAGTGCGCTAACCACTGCGCCACCGCTCCCTAAAGGCACCCCCCCACGCCCCTCCACGACGGACAATGGCGTTAAGATGGACCTATTCATCTAGCAGTGGAGAGACATTGGCGGACGATGCTGATGATGATGAATCGAGGATGAGTGACATCATCGTCTTCGTGTTGAATCTGCTCGGGGCAGTGGTCATCTTAGGTGGGAAGGTACACGTTCCCAGGGCGGGGCCCAATCCACTCATATGATACGGAGTACAACATAGATCGTTGTGACGTACTTTGAGATATTATATGCATCATCAATGCTTTATCATAATGTACATGTTTAATTGCAAATGTCACCACGGTGGCGAGATGTTAACGAGCTCGTCTGACATACAACATAGATCGTTGTGACGTACTTTGATTCGATCCCTACACGACCCTGACGCCTGTATATTTGGAGTGTGCGTGTCCTCTCTGGACGTGGAGAAAAATCCACATTTAGAATCAACGTCAAGCGCTTAGAGTATTTGGCTGCTCTCAATTTCCACACGCTGATGATATCAGCCACTTCGTTGAGCGATCATTTGTGGCCAGGTCGCTTCTAAAAAAAAGAGCTACACAGCTCAGTGGGGCCTTACCTGGGAAAATAACAAAATCTTTTTGGTTTTATAGTTTACATATTTGCATCCTTCGTGCAAAATGCATCTCTCACAATCGCCGAATAACCACGGACAAAGTGGAAGGGCAGCAGCCAGGCGACGAGAAGCCGTTGCTACCAGCAATTTCCCAAGATCTGTGTCCTGTGAAGCTCAAGATGCTCTTCAGCTAATGAATGAATGTTTATACACGTGGCAGAAAACCGGACAACACCCCACGTGCGCGCGGGGAGGGGCAACACTCAATCTCATACACACGAGAAAGACGGAGATGAGTCCACATTTGCTGTACCACCTTCTGGGGTGCCAGGGTGTGGCTCCTCCTCGATACCCAACGGGAAAGGAAGTTTCACAACCATCTGAGTGTGATCCACCAACCCTAGCTGCTG